AATAAATATTGCGGTTATCGCAACAGCCCTAACTATACGTCACACGTCGTCTAGCTCCTACAATACACACACCTATGGTGTGCGCATTAGAGCCTTTAATTACGGTTCTAGATTAACGCGCTGCTTACTGACACACACACACACACACGAGCAAAGAAACTTGTCAATGCTGCCCCACGACTTTTATTAATAACAGTTTAAATACTGAATCGCTACATTATATTTTCCAGGAATGAGAGGATAAAAAAAAAAACAGCGATTTTTAAGTAAACTCTAAAAAGAGAAACGCACAGACACGCAACTTTAACTACCCCTTCAAGTGAACGTGCGAATCGGAGGGGAAAGGGGAAGGGCTAAGGGGTAGAATTGGGATTGGGCCTTAGCCTCCAACTCTCACACTGGCGAGTAAAATCTAAAAAATTATTAGCCAGTGGCTAATATTAGACATCATTTAGTCACCCAGAGTGAAGATTTAGTCGCATATGCGAGTGATTTACTCGCATTGTAGAGTGTTGCTTCAGTACCATGTCATTTTTCTTTTCCAGCTGTGCCATCTTTTCTTCAATCTTCTTTTTCTTTTCCTGCTCCTTCTCCTTTTCACCTTTCACTCGAGCCTCAACAACCCGTTTCAAACGCTCGTCCCGCTTCCTAAAGCGGACAGAAAGAATTCACTAGTCCTGATTTGCATTCACACTTAAACTAGATTAATTATCCAGATTTATTGAATAGTACCAAATCAATCACTGGCAAACACACATAGGAAAAGCACCTTCCCACCTTTTCATTTCTTCCTGTTTCTTTCGTCTCTCCTCCTCAATCTTTTTCTTTCGTTCATTCTCTTGTTCTATTTTCTTGTTCAATGCGTCCCACTTCTGCCGTTCTCGCTCCTGGAAGAAAAATGATCATTTTAGAGTGATCATTAAAAAAAAAAAATAAAATACAGCAATTAAAGGGTTAGTTCACCCAAAAATGAAAATTAGCTCATAAATTACTCACCCTCAATGCATCCTAGGTGTATATGACTTTCTTCTTTCAGACGAATCCAGTCGGAGTTATATAAAAATTGTCTTTGATCTTTCAAGCTGTTTAATGGCAGTCAGGGGGTGTTGCATGCATCAGTCCAAAAGAAGTGAAATAAAAAGC